CTGCACTTATCCCTGCTGATGGCTGCACTGGGAGCAGGGAAAGCAGCAGCTGTGTGTCCAGGGGTCTGGGAAGGGGGGATTCCTCTCATGGTTAGCAAAGGCAACATGCAGGAGAGACTTCACTCTTTGCTTCTATCACCAGATCAACACCAAGCATGCTCACTGAATGGGAACAAGATGATCTTTAGGATTTCTTCAACCCAAGCCTTGCTCTGGCTTGATGATACTGCACACACAGACCTGCAGCAGCACAGTCCACTCTCATTTCTCACATTCCCTCTGCCATTTTCCAGCCCGTGACAGGATGAGTGGTCAGATGGAGTCAGACCAGAAGGGCACCAAGTGCCTCCCTGGAGCAGGGACCAGGCCACAGGACTCCAGGAGTCAGAGCTGTCTCAAAGGTAACAGCCCTTGGTGCATTTCACCCAGTAACTCTGCCCTACCTGGCAATCGTGGCAGCTACCCAGCTTTTGGGCAGCTAATTTTCCATGGCCTTTATCTAGCTAGAGAGCAAGGCCAGCCATGCAGCATGGCTCTCCAAGCACCATGGGGAAGGAACAGTGTCTGTCCCTTCCCTGCTCCACATGTTTCTCTGTGTGCCAGGGAATTAAAATATCCTGGCAGATCTTTAAATCTTGCCTCATTAGGACTTGTCACCCACCACTATCCTAAATCTCCCACAATCAGTTTTCTTCCCAGTCTCACCCCAAAAGAATCAGCTGCCCTTAGCAACTGCTCCCCTCCCTCCCTGCTGGATCCCCATCCCACAGCTCCAGCTCTCCAGCACTCCCCCCCAGCAGGTCCCTGTGCAGAGTCTCCCCCACCAAAACGACTCCCAGGAGACACAGGAACGCTGGGGAGTGAGTGTCAGTCACTGGGGCTTGTTGAGGGGTGTTAACTCAGGGGAGACCTAGGCTGGGCTCTTCAATCCATGTGCTCAAAGCTCCCCTGAGAAAGTCCAAGGAGCAATCCCAGTTCTTCTCCTGAGGAGAAGTCCAGGAGGATTTAGAGCACAGGGAAAGAGCAGGAAGCTGTGATGTATTTATCTTCTTAAGAAAACAGAATTCTTTGGCAAAGTGAGCTGAGCACGACCAGGAGACCACAGCTTTGGAAATGGACCCTGCCTGCAGGACCCACAAGCCCTGTACCCAGCAAGGGTCCTCCCCTTCCCCCTGCAGGCAACTCACATCCTAGATATCATGGCACTGTGCAAGCTTTCCAATAAAAATGGGCAATTGCTGCTTCGAAAGAGTGTGCCAACTTGGCAGTTCTGGGAGCAGTCCTGGTGAGTGTTGTCCTGAAAGGTGACATGTTCCTGCAGCCATCAGAGGTGAGCTTCAGCTGGTGCTCAGCACCAAACCTGTATGGTCACACACACCTCAGCACAGGTAACCACGGGCATCCCTGCTGGGGGTGTCAGGAATAATGACAGCAGTGCCTCAGCCACATCAAAATCCAGCAGAGGCCCGAGCTCTGCGAGCCCTGAGCTCACACATCCCATAAGGAATCCACTGCAAGCTATTACTAGGGAATTAGATCTGCTTTTCCTATGAAGCTGCCCAGGGATATAAATAGAGCTGCTAAAGCAGGGTGGAGACAGGTTTGACTTTTCAATCTGTTCTAAGATTTTTGTGTCTATTTTTTCGACAGATTGAGCAAACCAACCCCAAATGATGGGCCTCAGTACTGTCTCTGTACCATGGAACATCAAAACATGAGCAAATCCAAAATAATTCAGCCTATCTGGCATAAATCAGGGTCAGGGCTTGATTTTGGGGAGTAGGGAACACTAGAAATGAGGGAAAGACCAGCTCAAGCTTCCTGCCAAGACACCAGTGTCAGACCTGGGCCCAAGCTCCACTAAAATGCTGTGCCTGAGCAAATACAACACAGCCCCAGCCCAGGGATAGAGCAGACAGAAGCCAGCACTGACGAGGCTGTATCAGTGTTTACTCACGCCAGCGCTGTGGTAACACGTGCTCTTACCACAGCAGCTGGGCCAGAAACCCACCACCAGCACCAGGACCTGGAGGTTTCCCTCAGAGGCAGCATGCGAGCATGGGAGGAGGTCGGGAGGTTCAGGAGAAGCTCCCGCAGCAGGGGAGCGAGGAGCAGGAGGCAGAGACACGAGGTGAGAGCAGTGAGATCCACACGGACGGGACGGGAGGCTGAGAGCTCCAAGTGAAGCAGGGAAGCGCTGAGGTACCCCCACACTGCCCCACACCAGCCCTGGGCAGCTCCCTCTGCCCCAGCCCGTGCTGACCCTGCCACCCACTGTGCCCCGAGGGGCTCCCCCTCCCCATGGCTGAGCCCCCAGCTGCTGCCCAGGCTCCAGGGGGACACCAGGCTGGGGCAGCGCTGCTGTGTCCCCTCCCTCCATGCCTCTCCTGGGGAAAGCACCTGCATAAAGCAGCTGGGGAAAGGGTAGGTGTAACTGCACCCACCACCAGACAGGGAAGAGGCACCCAAATTAAATGCTCTCCCAGGAGGCTCAGGAGCTGAAAAAAGGACCCCCAAAATCCAGCTCCAGTAATAGAGAAGCAGCCCCTACACGAGGAAGGGCCTGAAGCCGAGTCAGCCCCTTCCTTGCCCACACACTCACCGAGATGACCCGGTCTCCCACGCGCAGGATCCCATCCCGGTGGGCTGCGCCACCCTCTGCGATCCGGGAGATGAAGATCCCCTGGAGCACGAGCAGGAAGATCAGAGCAGCCTGGGCTTTCCCTCACCTGAGCCTGCCTTTCCAAACCCGTTCCCCGACACCAGGCAGGTCTCAGCCCTCTCCCCTCCACACACCCTTCCCCTGCCCTGATGCCTCCTGTTGGTTCCCCACTCCACACAAACCCTCTGCTCCCAGAGCCCGTGGCAGCAAAGCCCTCCCGTGGCCCAGAGCCTGGAATCCGTGCCAAGAGGGCAGCAGTAGGATTACATGTCACCGGCAGCGATTGGGGGCCCCAGCTTCCCTCCTTCTATTAAAAACGAGGGAGTGGGACTTTGGACAAGGGCTGGAGTGACAGGACAGAGGAGAATGGCCACCCACTGCCAGAGGGCAGGGATGGATGGGATACTGGGAAGGAATTGTTCCCTCTGAGGGTGGTTTGGCCCTGGCACAAACCTGCCCAGAGAAGCTGTGGCTGCCCCATCCCTGAAAGTGTTCAAGGCCATGGTGGGCAGGGCTTGGAGCAGCGTGGGACACTGGAACCTGGCCATGACAAGGGGATGGAATACATGAGGTTTAAGGTCACTTCAAACCCATAATGGAATTCCATGATTCCCTGACCTAACAGCAGCTGTCTCAGAGTCCACCTGGCCCACCAGCCCAGGGCCAGGCTGCACTGCTGCATGCCCAGGGATGAGGAGGGTCCTGCGGCTCGCGCAGGGGTCCGCGTTGGTGACAAGCTTCTGGAGGTAAGGACTTGACGTCTGTGACGAAGCAAATGCTTCTGATAGCTTGGAGTGGAGGGAGGCATGAGATGATTTGGAATAGATTTGCATCACGCATGTTTCAGACCAAATTAAGCATTAGGAAATGTGTAAGAGCTAAAGAAAATCCCTTTGGCTCAGAGATCGTTGTTTAATTTATGTTACCATGAATCCTTTATTGCTTTATAAGCTCCTGCATTTACTCTGGCCCAGCTCTGAAGTGTTTTGTGACCCAGGTGGGAAGAGGTACATCCCCAGCAGCCTGAGCTCTGCTTACCTGTGTGGGGTGAAAGTGAGCCCTGTAAAATAACTTCTGAGCCAGGGAGCCAGCCATGGGAATTGTTTGGGTGGAAAGGGACCTTAAAGGTCATCTCATTTCACCCCCTGCCATGGGCAGGGACACCTTCCACTAGACCAGAGTGCTCCAAGCCCCATTCAACCCAGGCAGCCTGGGCCTGATGCCCTGGTTCTCCCTTGTGACATTCCCCACACTAAGGGACTGTCACACTGACAGCTCCAGTGTTTCAAGGGTGTGAGCAGGTGGATGTCCCTTCTGGAAGGTGGTGAACAAGGGTCAACCTGATTTGTGTTGAATTTTGCTGGAGATGGTTCTGTGTGAGGGATTATCTGTCTGGGATGTTGCCTGTAGGGATAACACAGGTGTAGGGAATTTAAGACTCCCTGCAGGGAAAGAAAGGAGCCTTTCCTTGGTTGCTCTGGCCTGGGACAGGTAGCAGGTGCTGTGGGAATGCAGGAAAACTTCCCAGAGGTGTGGACACACCTGTGGGAGCCGGGCCTGGGAGGGGTGTGAGCTGTGTCCTGAGCCAGTTCCCTTGGACAGCAGTGGCTCAGGCTGGGGCTGTGTGTGAGGTTGGGGCTGTGTGAGGTTGGGGCTGTGTGTTGGTTGGGGTTGTGTGTGAGGCTGGGGCTGTGTGTGTTGGTTGGGGCTGTGTGCCTGGGGCTGTGTGAGGTTGGGGCTGTGTTGGTTGGGGTTGTGTGGCTGGGGCTGTGTGTTGCTTTGGGCTGTGTGTTGGCTGGGGCTGTGTTGCTTTGGGCTGTGTGTTGACTGGGGCTGTGTTGCTTTGGGCTGTGTGTTGATTGGGGCTGTGTTGCTTTGGGCTGTGTGTTGGTTGGGGCTGTGTGTGAGCCTGGGGTTGTGTTGCTTTGGGCTGTGTGTTGGTTGGGGCTGTGTGTGAGCCTGGGGTTGTGTTGCTTTGGGCTGTGTGTTGGTTGGGGCTGTGTGTTGGTTGGGGCTGTGTGTTGGCTGGGGCTGTGTGTTGGCTGNCAGGACCTGGAGGTTTCCCTCAGAGGCAGCATGCGAGCGTGGGAGGAGGTCAGGAGGTTCAGGAGAAGCTCCCGCAGCAGGGGAGCGAGGAGCAGGAGGCAGAGACACGAGGTGAGAGCAGTGAGATCCACACGGACGGGACGGGAGGCTGAGAGCTCCAAGTGAAGCAGGGAAGCGCTGAGGTACCCCCACACTGCCCCACACCAGCCCTGGGCAGCTCCCTCTGCCCCAGCCCGTGCTGACCCTGCCACCCACTGTGCCCCGAGGGGCTCCCCCTCCCCATGGCTGAGCCCCCAGCTGCTGCCCAGGCTCCAGGGGGACACCAGGCTGGGGCAGCGCTGCTGTGTCCCCTCCCTCCATGCCTCTCCTGGGGAAAGCACCTGCATAAAGCAGCTGGGGAAAGGGTAGGTGTAACTGCACCCACCACCAGACAGGGAAGAGGCACCCAAATTAAATGCTCTCCCAGGAGGCTCAGGAGCTGAAAAAAGGACCCCCAAAATCCAGCTCCAGTAATAGAGAAGCAGCCCCTACACGAGGAAGGGCCTGAAGCCGAGTCAGCCCCTTCCTTGCCCACACACTCACCGAGATGACCCGGTCTCCCACGCGCAGGATCCCATCCCGGTGGGCTGCGCCACCCTCTGCGATCCGGGAGATGAAGATCCCCTGGAGCACGAGCAGGAAGATCAGAGCAGCCTGGGCTTTCCCTCACCTGAGCCTGCCTTTCCAAACCCGTTCCCCGACACCAGGCAGGTCTCAGCCCTCTCCCCTCCACACACCCTTCCCCTGCCCTGATGCCTCCTGTTGGTTCCCCACTCCACACAAACCCTCTGCTCCCAGAGCCCGTGGCAGCAAAGCCCTCCCGTGGCCCAGAGCCTGGAATCCGTGCCAAGAGGGCAGCAGTAGGATTACATGTCACCGGCAGCGATTGGGGGCCCCAGCTTCCCTCCTTCTATTAAAAACGAGGGAGTGGGACTTTGGACAAGGGCTGGAGTGACAGGACAGAGGAGAATGGCCACCCACTGCCAGAGGGCAGGGATGGATGGGATACTGGGAAGGAATTGTTCCCTCTGAGGGTGGTTTGGCCCTGGCACAAACCTGCCCAGAGAAGCTGTGGCTGCCCCATCCCTGAAAGTGTTCAAGGCCATGGTGGGCAGGGCTTGGAGCAGCGTGGGACACTGGAACCTGGCCATGACAAGGGGATGGAATACATGAGGTTTAAGGTCACTTCAAACCCATAATGGAATTCCATGATTCCCTGACCTAACAGCAGCTGTCTCAGAGTCCACCTGGCCCACCAGCCCAGGGCCAGGCTGCACTGCTGCATGCCCAGGGATGAGGAGGGTTCAGGGACCCCAGGGATCAGCACTGACCGTGTCCCCAGCCCGGTAAGGAGTGGAGCCCTTGCCACCAGCGATGCTGAAGCCGAGGCCCTTCTCGTTGCGCATGAGGCAGGTGGAAAATCTCTCGGTGGCCGCTGCTCCCTCGGGGCACTCGGGGAAGCGCAGCCCCCCACGCCGCTCCCGGGGGCTGTAGTCGTCCTCGGGCCGCAGCGGGGTGACGGTGATGGCGTTCTCCGGCTCCACCATCCGCTCCCTCAGCACCGTCATGGACACCGAGCTCCCCGAGCCCCGCAGCGCCTCCACGGCCACGTGGTGCTCGGCACAGTGCAGGGACACTCCGTTCACCTGGGGACAGACAGCGACAGCCTGCTGTCACACACGGCCCCAACCAACACACAGCCCAACCTCACAGCCCCAGGCTCACACACAGCCCAAAGCAACACAGCCCCAACCTCACAGCCCCAACCAACACACAGCCCCAGCCAACACACAGCCCCAACCAACACACAGCCCCAACCAACACACAGCCCAAAGCAACACAACCCCAGGCTCACACACAGCCCCAACCAACACACAGCCCAAAGCAACACAGCCCCAACCTCACAGCCCCAACCAACACAACCCCAGGCTCACACACAGCCCCAACCAACACAGCCCCAGCCAACACACAGCCCAAAGCAACACACAGCCCCAGCCACACAACCCCAACCAACACAGCCCCAACCTCACACAGCCCCAGGCACACAGCCCCAACCAACACACACAGCCCCAGCCTCACACACAACCCCAACCAACACACAGCCCCAACCTCACACAGCCCCAACCTCACACACAGCCCCAGCCTGAGCCACTGCTGTCCAAGGGAACTGGCTCAGGACACAGCTCACACCCCTCCCAGGCCCGGCTCCCACAGGTGTGTCCACACCTCTGGGAAGTTTTCCTGCATTCCCACAGCACCTGCTACCTGTCCCAGGCCAGAGCAACCAAGGAAAGGCTCCTTTCTTTCCCTGCAGGGAGTCTTAAATTCCCTACACCTGTGTTATCCCTACAGGCAACATCCCAGACAGATAATCCCTCACACAGAACCATCTCCAGCAAAATTCAACACAAATCAGGTTGACCCTTGTTCACCACCTTCCAGAAGGGACATCCACCTGCTCACACCCTTGAAACACTGGAGCTGTCAGTGTGACAGTCCCTTAGTGTGGGGAATGTCACAAGGGAGAACCAGGGCATCAGGCCCAGGCTGCCTGGGTTGAATGGGGCTTGGAGCACTCTGGTCTAGTGGAAGGTGTCCCTGCCCATGGCAGGGGGTGAAATGAGATGACCTTTAAGGTCCCTTTCCACCCAAACAATTCCCATGGCTGGCTCCCTGGCTCAGAAGTTATTTTACAGGGCTCACTTTCACCCCACACAGGTAAGCAGAGCTCAGGCTGCTGGGGATGTACCTCTTCCCACCTGGGTCACAAAACACTTCAGAGCTGGGCCAGAGTAAATGCAGGAGCTTATAAAGCAATAAAGGATTCATGGTAACATAAATTAAACAACAATCTCTGAGCCAAAGGGATTTTCTTTAGCTCTTACACATTTCCTAATGCTTAATTTGGTCTGAAACATGCGTGATGCAAATCTATTCCAAATCATCTCATGCCTCCCTCCACTCCAAGCTATCAGAAGCATTTGCTTCGTCACAGACGTCAAGTCCTTACCTCCAGAAGCTTGTCACCAACGCGGACCCCTGCGCGAGCCGCAGGACCCTCCTCAGACACACGGGAAATAAAGATGCCCTGGAAACGAAACCTTCTGTTATATGGAGAGCCTGCTCCCTTTGGAGTGCAGGGACCCCTCAGCTCCAAGGAGAGGGGTCAGTGCCTGGCCAGTCCTGAACCCAGGAGGAGGGGACACAGCAACCACATCACCCCGCTCGGGAGCTGGGAAAAGGGGACAGAAACCTCCCTGCAGGGCGACCTCAAGGTGAGACACGAGACCCGGGGACGACACGCTATCCCTGGTGCAGTGGAACTGGCACACGACACGGCTGATGCCAGCGGGTGGGGAACAGCCCCACACTCTGTGCCCCAGGACACAGCTGGGAAGGAATCCTCTGCTCCCGTGCCTGATCCAGGGCAGACCACCCAGGTCCAGGGCCAGGAGTCTGCGTCACCCCACCAACCTCTTGCTCTTGGGGGATTCAGGGCTGCTCCCACCCGGCCCCAAAAGGCTCTCACACGAGGACACCCAAGCTCCAGCTACGGAGAAGAGGCCCCGAAAGCAGGAGCCTCAGCAGTGGCACAGCCCAGGTCTTACCTCATCATCCCCCTTATAGGGAGTGGAGCCCTTGCCCCCCGCGATGCTGATGCCCAGCCCCCCCGTCTGCCGCACGATGGTCAACGTCAGCTGGAAGCAGAAGGGACAGTGGTTATGGCTCAGGGCACCTGAGAACAGGGGATGACTCTTTTCGTAAGAAATAGCAATCCCAAGTGCCCTGCTGACACTCTGGGGGAGCCAGAGGCACCACCACCACTGCACATCAAACACACAAATCCCTTCCCACAGCCGAGTCCTGACCCGAGTCAGCTTGCTGACGATGGACACGGCAGAAGGGGATTCCACTGCAAAGCAAACTGGGCAGCCACAGACTGGAACTGGATCACACAACAGGGACAGCGTTCACACCACAGCCTGGCTCTGCCAAGGGTGTAATTCTGAGTGTAATTATCAATGCAGTTATTGAGAGTAATTCTGTCAGCCACTGGGGTATTCCAGGTCACGCCAGCATAGTGTGCAGTGATAAGGATGGCACCTTGTCCAGAATACTCTGGATGGATACTTGGCTTTGTTGTATTGATGAAAATCAACACACAACTCCAAAAAACCCCATTTGCTCTGTCCAGATTCTCTGCTTCCCTCTGCTCCAGCTGCTCAGGATCACAGCTGAGCAATCCACAAGTCTCCTCCTTCCTACCTCCCACCTCTACACACCCAATTATACCCACTGCCAACAGCTGATCTGACTTGACCTGAAGCTGTTTCTTTTAAGGACACCAGCAGGAACCATCCATAACGCCACAGTCACGAGAAGGAAGACAGGGAGCATGTGGTAGGATAGAGGGAAAGGAACAGGATAGACAGGACTCTCTCAGGGCCAAGGACCAAGGAGCTGGTGAGGTTAAGTGACAGAAATGATCACAGACTCCTCTAGAGAGCCAGATTTGCTGTCCTCCATGTAACCTCTTTGCAAACAAAGCTCAGGATGGAGAGAGGCTGCTGCAGAGATGTCGAGTGTCAGCGTCAGCTCCACATGGCCCCAGCATGGGCAGCAAAAGAAGCAGATTACCTTCCCTAACACTTCCCTTCCAGCCCTCTTTCACTTCTTGCAGTGACAGAACCAGCATCTTGTGGAGCTCCATACTCTGCTAAGTTTAAAACAAAAACCAAACCAAAAAACCACTGCAGGAAACATGAGACAAACTGAGGTGCCCTGCAGTTCCTTTGATGCCCAGTTAACAGCACAGCAGAACACTCTGCAACCTTCCCAGGGAAATCCCTGATTCCAGACCTACATCAGTTCACTGTCTCTGCTACAAGAGCCAGAAACTGAGTAAAATTCCAAGTTTTGGAATACCCAAGTCAGACAGAAACAGGGTACTGATGAGACAGCACCACATCCAACAAAGCCCACCTCAAACCAGCTCCTGACCAGACAAATGCTTCTTGCATGACCACGTCTATTAGGAACTAATTACAAACCCCACGTTTTTCCATCCAGACTCACTGGACTTCCAGAAATGCTCTAACAACTCATATCTGTATTGTTCAAGGAGTATTTGGACAATGCTCTCAGGCACATGGGAGGATTTTTGGGGCTCTGTGCAGGGCCAGAAGATGGATTTGATGATCCTGATGAGGAAAATGAATGTAATTCTACATTCAACACAAAAGCTTCTAAGGATGGTAGCAAACCAGGTCTTCAGGCATGGACTATGGACTAGTCCAACAGCAGAATCCTGGTATTTCCCAGGAAGAGAGCTGAGCTGGTTCTGCTCAGTGCCCAAATCCATTGGACAGGATCATGATTTTGGACAACGACTGAGGACTGTCTGATATCGCTGTTCACAGAGAGTCACTTCCAGCTGCATGGGAGCTGCATGGGAGCTGCATGGGAGCTGTATGCTAACAGAAAGACATACCACAAACCCCCTGGATTTCACACATTCAGCAAACCAGTCTGAAAACATGGGGAAACCTGCCAGAAAAGCCAACTGGCCTGAGGGGGAAAAACCTTCTGCCCATCAATGTACACTCAAAAAGCAAAACACCACGGAGAAAGCAGGCCAGATTAAAAATACTGAGACAACTGCAGCAAAGGGGCTTGAATTAGATATTTATATATGTAGGCTAAAAGGATTTCAAACTCCAAAGCAAATCTGTTCTCTCACAAAAACCAGTGTGGTGAGGACTGAATGAGAGCCGAATGTTCTGGTGTTTGTTTGAGGTCTATGGAAAGAGTAACTGCTGTGAATATGAACCTTAAGAAAGAAGGACCTGGATCCAGAAGCCTGTAATGGCCCTTCATTTTGCAGCTCAGGCTGTTTCTTGCACTAAACCCTTAAGCTGTCTGTTCCCCAAAGCTCCTCTTCCCTAAGGCTGCTCCTGGGCATCCTGGGCTGCCACGATGTTGGACTGGCACTGGAACCACAGCACAGAGCTGTCCCAGCAGGGGCAGCTCAGCTCCCTCCTGGCCACTGCTCCTGCCATGGACTTTACTGGGAATTTTACTCCTTGTCTGGTTTTCCCCCAGAGGCAGGATCTACCCATAGCCCACCCCAGAGGATCTGATCTGTGCTGCTTCCCACCAAAATTTGCTGCTTCTTCCTCTGCAGAGAGGACAAACCTTCATGGAGAGTGCAGCACGCCCTGACAGGGGCCCAGCCCTGCATGGAAAAGTGCTGCAGTGCCAGGGGAAAAGTGGGGGAATTGAAAAAGCTGCCACAACATCAGCTTTGAGCTGCCATCCTTCCCCCTGGCTGGCTCCTACCAGGAGCCCATTCACCATCAGTGGCAGTGGACATGACACAGGGAAGCAGCTCCATCTCTGCCCCTCAGTCCTGCCTGTGGCTCTGCCTGTGCCTCTTTGGGGACACACCAAAAGTGAACCAGGGCCCCCTCAACCCAGCCCTCACATGGTTTTTGGTGTAACTATTTTTTAACATGGAATCATGGAATGGTTTGGTGGGAAGGGACCTAAAAGCTCATCCACCCACCCTTTTCTGCTAAGAGATTCACTTGTTCCTGCAAGAATCCCCAGCTTTCAGGAAGTAACTGTACGCATAGAAGCGTTGCACACCTGGCCAGACTCGCTTTCAAGCAGCAGCCCAGATGCCCAGGTGCTGCCCAGGTGCTGCCCAGGTGCTGCCCAGGTGCTGCCCAGGTGATTTGGGACAGTCAGAATTTGCTGCTGTGCCGTGCAACTCATCACTGAGGATTCCTGCAGCCTGTCAGGGGCACGGCAGACACCAGGCAGTGCCCAACCATCGCACCCACAGGACTCAAGGGACAGAGTTCAGAGCTGTTGTCCTTGAGACAAGAACTTTGCTGAAAGACAAAGTTCTTCCTCCAAACACACCCACAAAAGTGGGGTTCAAGGGCTTCACATCCAGAAGACAGAAAGTTTCTGCTGGCACAGGCATCAATTCATAAATGGTTGCACATGTGGATGCACACAGCTGGGGTCAGTCTGGGGCCTCGTACCAAGGAAGACATCGAGGGGCATCAGCAAGTCCAGATACAGGAACAGAGCTGGGGAAAACGTCTGGAGCACCAGGAGCAGCTGAGGCGGCTCAGGGGGGCTCAGCCTGGAGAAAAGGAAGCTCAGAAGGGACCGTCTCAGTTCCTACAACTCCCTGACAGGAAGGTGGAACGAGGTGGGGCTCAGGCTTTGCTCCCAGGGAACAAGGGACAGGACAAGGGCAAATAGTCTCAAGTGGTGCCAGGAGTGGTTTACGTGGGACACTGGAAAATCCCTTCCTGTAAACGGCTGTCCAGCCCTGGCACAGGTTGCTCAGGACAGAGTCCTCATATCTGGAAGTGTTCAAAACCATGTGGATATGGCACCTGAGGACATGGTTTAGTGATGAACATGGTGGTGGTGATGGGCAGGACTCGATGATCTTCGAGGACTTTTCCAACCTTACTGACTCCCGACTCTCAGTGTCCAATCCTCGTGTTTACATGCCCCAAAAGATTCATTTGAGACTGTCATACTGACACAGGAAATGCACACTGCAATAAATAATTTGGATTTATGTTGCGACAGACACGTGACAAGGGACAGGTGCCAGGTGAGGGTGAGAGATCCCACTTCAACAGCAGCTGGAGAATCCATTAAATATCAACAATAACCTTTTCAAAAATCAAAAGGACTGGAAAACTTGTGTTCAAGAGTCCCACCATCTGCCTGAGATCTCTGAGATGCTTACAGAGCATTTCCAAAATTCTGGAGAAAAGGAAGCTTAGGAGGGACCTGAGGGAAAATTCTGGGCTTTTTTTTACCCTGCGACCCCCTGTATTGTGCTGAGGGAGTCAGAGACTACACAGGATGATTCCTGTAACCACCAGCTCCTCATCCAGACACCGTTCCAGTGAGAAAGGCAGGGAATAAATGGAAATCTCTCTTACCAGAGAACACCAGAGGAAATGGTTTCTCTAACCCCACAAAAGGGAGGCTGGAGAAGTCAGGGCTGGTCTCCTTAGAATTACACCATTCCAGAGGAGCAACTGAGGAACACATGTGCCTCTTACCAGGCCCACAAATGGCTCTCATGAGAAACAGCTGAATTTTATGAAAATCAGGTCTCTCAAAACCCAAACTATTTCATTCTAAGAAGATTCCAGACTTGGCTGATGAAGTGAAGACTCACTGAGGAGAGTTGTGCAAAAGATGGAAGCTGTGCTCCCAGACCTGGCACTGCCATTACCCAAAGCTGGTACAGGTGTGTGCTGTACAGGCCAAGAACCAGGTAAGGGTCACTGGGAGAGAAACGAGAATTTGGGTTCAGGCAAGATGTATCAGGAGTGGCCTTACTCTAAAGGAGACAGAATTGAAATAATTCTATGTGAGGGGAGGCTGGGAGCCCTCCAGTTCAGGAGGAGGAGACAGACCCTTTTTGTCTTTTCATGCCATTAATAACTTTATAGGAGATTATTATTCCATGTTTGTGATCACAAAAGAATTCAATGGAACTCAGTAAGATACCAGATGAAATACTAATGGCAGGCTTAAAAAATGCTTTTTGATATAAATCTCAAGTAAATGATATAATTTATTGCCACTAGATTCTGTGGGACTGAAATGTATAAAAGGACTGGGAGAGGACCACACAAAATCATGGATGGCA